CGGCTGTGGGTAACAATTATAACAAATCTGATGAACAGTATATATGGGAGCTATATCTGCACCGATCTTCACCAAATTTGACATACTAGCTTCTAGACTCAATTCGGTCGTAAGTGCCAAATTTCATGTTTTTCGAACAAATATTAGACGTTTGGTGCATAATAAAATGTAAATCGGACGAAGTAATATGTGGGAGCTATATCCAAATTTGAACCGATCTCGATAAAATTTAGCAAATGTATTTCTGAGCTGTATTTGCTATATTTTCTCAAATATTGTTGTTACAGAGTTCATATTATGGCTGCGGAGGACAAAAATAACAAATCGAATGAAACATATATATGGTAGCTATAGCTATATCAGAACCGATTTTGATCAAATTTGGCATACTATTTTTCAGGCCTAATTTGGTTGTATGTGCAAAATTCCATACTATTCGGTCTGATATTACACGTTTGGTGCACAATAAAAGGCAAATCGGACGAAGATATATATGGGACCTATATCTAAATTTTTACCGATTATCTCCAATTTCAATAGGGCTCGTCCTTGGGCCAAACAAATGATTTATGCAAAATTTCATCTCAGTCGGATAATAAATGCGACCTGCATTTTGTTCCCCAGAATATATGGACAGACGGACGGACTGACATGCATAAATCAACTCAGAAAGTGATTCTATGGAGATCCTCAAAAGTAACTATGGGTCTATCTCGCTTCCTTTTCCATGTTACAAACAAGTGCACAAAGACATAATACCCTTACCTCTATGTGGTGTAGGGTATAAAAATGTAAAAATTATGGCGTTTGACTTTGTTGCAGTTTTTTATCTCACTCCGTACACCCTCCATACTACTGTGGAGGGTATAAAATCAGAGAGTGAAGGGTATGACGGAATTGGTTGAAACTTTCACAAAGGGTTTTTTTCAAGGTGAAACTCCTACATCACAATTTCTGCTGTAATTGACCTCTCCGAGCTTTGAGAGGGCTTAAATATAAAATAAGATGTATATTCGATTGGTCAATAATTGTACATCTCACAATTGGAGATTGCAAAATCAACAAAAAATTTAGTTTTGGTCCATTTCATCTTCAGAATATTTTACAAATATAGTAAATAACAATGGGGTTCGGACCATAATTGCGTCGTGTGGAGTGATTGACAAGTTCAAAAGCAGTTTAGTTCTTTTAATACCCCCACCATCTTTATGGATCTTAAAAACTAGAAAAAAATGCCAAATTATACCACTTAAATGAAAACTGTTATATGGGGCTATATGAAGACGTGGATCTATGTAGAGAATTCTCTTCCAGGGGGTAAAGTACTCAGAAGGAAATGTTTATGTGGATTTGGAGATAATTCCATTGGAAAATGTGGCTACAATTATCAAAATACAGAATATCGGGAGGTGCTGTTATATTGGGGATATACGATATCAGGGGTAAAAAACTAAGAAGAAACTGCTGGTGTGGATTTTCAGACAATTCCATTGAAAAATGTGGCTAAAATCATCAACATACCGAATATCGGGGATACCATTATATGGGGGCTAAACGATATCGTTCATCGAGATAGCCCATCTTCGGACTTGGCCTGTCTGTAGACTAAAGACTGAACCGTGCGAAATTTTACATAAGCAAGGTCGGACATGGCTAAATCATCTTAGAATTTTTTGCTGATGGAGAATATATACTTTGTTAGGTCTACAATTATTATTTCGATGAGTCACAAACGGAATGATAAACTTAATATACCCTCCATACTAAGTATGGTGGAGTGTATAAAAATTAAGAAGTAGAATTATAATTACAACACAATATTTTGATCTATATCTTCTATACCTTCTACCGTACTGAGGGTATTTTAACTGTTGTATCTGGATTTTTTTTTTGAGATAATCGGTCAAAATTTAGATATAGCTCCCATATATATCTTCGTCCGATTTTCCTTTAATTGTGCACCAAACGTGTAATATCAGTCCGAATAGTATGGAATTTTGCACTTATAATCGGATTGGACCTGAAAATAAGTATGCCAAATTTGATCAAAATCGGTTCCGATATAGCTATAGCTCCCATATATATTGTACATCCGATTTGTTATTTTTGTCCTCCGCAGCCGTAATATGCACTCTGTAACAACAATATTTGGGGAAATATATCAGAAATATATTTGCTAAATTTTATCGAGATCGGTTCAGATTTGGATATAGCTCCCATATATATGTATATATATATATATATATATATATATATATATATATATATATATATATATATATATATATATATATATATATATATATATATATATATATATATATCTGATTTCAAATTAATTTTGCACCACATGGGCAATACAACACCGAATTTAAAAAATACAAATGCTTCGTCATATTTAATCCTTTGAATTTTAAATTATAAGTATAAACATAGGGTGTATGATTGAATTCTCCCATAAAAACTTCTAATTGTTATGTGGAGCTCAACTAAATTAGCAAAGTGGTGTAGGGTATCATATAATCGTCCCCGCCCGACTTTAGGATTCTTTTTACTGGTTCAAAGTTGATATTTTGAAATAGGAAATAAATTGCACTGGTTCGTATAGGACCCATATAAATTCAGCTAACGATGTTCGGTATTTTGGATTTATGTCAAAATTTTCGACTGCAGTGTTTAAAAATTAACTTTTTGGAGTTCATGATGGGTACCATTTCCTACATTAAAAAATTACCTATACAGTCCGCATCTTCCTTTGTCACCCATATAACGAATGGTTCCCCTGATATTTGGTGTTTTGCGTTTATATAAGGAAACTTCTCTTTTTCAGAATTTCCAAATTTTTGGTCTAATTTCCATGTAAATAGCTGCAATGTCATATTTTGAGATATGATGGAGTAGTTTAACTCCTCGCAAGGATATTCAATATTCTACCTTCTGTTATAGCTCCCACAGTATACTGCCATTTTTTCCAATCATCAGATGTAATTTGATATTTGGGGTTCTTATTGGGTAGTTTAACTCTGCCAAAAATGTGTATTCACTTTTTTGATAGCGGGTTAAGGACCCAAATTTTCTATATTACAAAGGTTTTTCGGCTTCTTTGAAGGCAGTTTAACTTCTTCAAAAATAGTCAAAGAAGTCATAGATTCCGTTTTGGCGGAAGATCCATATTTTTGGGGATTTTAGGACAGCCAATTTGACCATAAATTAAGTATTCACAAGGTGGTGATAATAAAAGACCGGCGCTGCCGAAATTAGTATAGTTTTTACTTATTTATCCCTAATACTGTCCTCCTTGACGACAGCCCATTCAACTCACACATTGTATAATTCAAGGCATCTAATGATTGGCAATGTTGTTATACCATTCGTTACAACAACAGCAACAAATTTGAAACGTTTTTCAAATCACTTCAACAATTTGATATTTTTCCCAATTTTTTTTTTATTTTATTTTATGATCTCCAATTTCAAAGAAAGAAAGAAATAAAATCGCACATTTCAAATAATATTGCTCTTCAATTCCATTCAAGTTTTGTGAAAATTGTTTTCATCCAACTGTGATTTATTTAGATTTAGTCCTCCCCCTCGGGCTCTCCGCAAATGTTGGAATGTAACGGAACACGGGTAGTTGTTATTCAATTCAATACAAAAATGGAATTGGAAAACATTTTCCAATATAAGTCACATGCTGGCTTATGTTAATAGCCTTGAATAAGAAGTAGTTGGGTGAGGGGAGGGGTGGAAGGGAAGGGAGAGGTATTACATGAAATATATGCCATTGGAGGAGTGTTTCAAAGGAATGTTAGAATAGCAACATTTTTCGCTGATTGTTTATTTCGTCTTTGCCAAGGAAACACATAATAAAAGATGTTACTTTACAAGGACCCAGTTCCTACTGCCTTCCCTCTGGTCCTCCCCCAATCCTCACTCACCAAACAATAGTCCTGGCAACGTTAGAAATAAAATATTTAAATAATTTCCCAAAAATACTTGAAAGCATTTACTTTAAAATGTCAAAATCGATTATATACTTGACAACAACAGCAGCAAAAAATGGCAACTGTGGCAGCAGCACAGCAGTCGCCGGCAAGACAGTCACCCAAAAAAGGGAATAACATTGGCCATAACAACCTAGGAGAAGAAAACGAGGAGGACGAGGTAGGAAGAAAATGAATAAAATGGCAACATAACATCACTGACAATTGTTGTGGCGTTGACAGTGACATCCAAAGGCTGGCTGGCTGTATGGGCACAATGTGGGTGGAGGCGTTCATGTGACACTGAGTGTCATCTGCAGCACACACACGCACACAAAGACATACGGAGTACGAGAGGGCACAAGTTGAATGAGTCTTAGAGTTTTGTCTCAAAAACAAGGGGCGCTGATTTCCGTAGCAATTGAATTTTAAATTTTAACTTGGAAGGAGGTACTCAAACTGACACATTGAGGAAAAATGGCCAAATGTTTATTATGGGCAATTTCTTGTCTAAATCCTTAACTCCTCTTAAATTGCTGGGAGTGCGAGTGTTAATAATATTGCGTAAATTTGTTAAGGCTTATTGTTATTATTGTTATTGTAGAGGACGTCATTTGGCAGGAACAGGAATAGAGGTTGCTTTGTGTGTTGCCTGAAACTATTTAAAGAATTGTGGCCGAAAATTTTGGCCATAGGAAATTGAATGCTAAACCCCTTAATGACCTTTTCCCCCCCTCGAAGAAAATGTGGGTACTAAAATTTAAAATTACTTTTCAAGGAGTTAAACAAAAATTCCTGGACAAAATCCTGGAATTAGGGAAAAATGAAAAATAAATAACAAAAGGAAACTAAAGCGGAAGGTCGGACACAATCATGTAAATAATATAACGTTCTTTGTTCATAGGCTTTGAAACTTTTCACAGAAAAGGGATTTTAATTAAAATAAATGCAAATCCGTTCAGTTTTTTTTTTTTAAAGAAGAGGAAAAGGAAAAAAATCTGCAACAAACATAATTACCTCAAGAGTTTATCCAAAAATCCAAGGAAAAAGGATGCAAAATGTGGATTTAGGATGGAAATTCAAGACTTCCTTGGGTTTTTCACCATTACACAGCAACGCACAGTAATCCACAGGTTTCCTAGACAAAATAGAGAAAAATATAGATAAGGAGGTGGTTTTGGAAATTCATACTAAAATTTGTATTAAATAGTACTATAACTACGTTTTTGTTTTAAAATTATTTAGAATACCCAACAACACTATGTGTGGGGGTATTATAAGTTTGATTGGGCCAAAAATTATGTAACTTCTGGAATCATTGGTCTTACACATGGGATGTTATATATGGACCTTCCTATGTAGCCGTCCATCTAGTTATGCATGTCCGTCCGACTCTCCCTCTGTCCATATTAATTTTTAATAATTTAATTCTTAATAATAATGGCCCGAATTTCACGAAATTTTACATGAACGTGGAATTATGGTCAAAATTAAAGCGTATTTTTGGAATGATCGCAAAACATTTAATCGTTGAAAAGCAAGAAAGAGCAACACTTTCTGATTACGCAGTTGCTCTCCAGGTCGCAACCATAGACCATTTGACGCGGAAAATTACATAAAACTGGAGTTTAGGGATGCCTCCCAATTTAAATGACCATCGAATAAATTTTACGGGGTGAAACATGCGAATATTTTTAAACCCGGCGGAACCACAACTGCACAAAGGTCATTTGTGATCGTCCCAGTGATGTTGGCATCCAAGATATCGCATATATATCGCAAAATATATACAATTTGTATAATAGTATGGATTTGTCTAAAAATTGGTATTTGTTGGCCATAGTAGGTTCTGGCGGCGGTGGCGAAACATTGCATGTGTAGGTCCACGTTCTGGTATAGCCCCCAAATAACGATACCTCCCGATATTCGGTATTTTGATGATTTTTGCCACATTTTTTATGGGTTTGTCTAAAAATTGGTATTTGTTGATCATAATGGGTTCTAGCTCCGGTAGCGAAACATTGCATGTATAAGTCCACGTTTTGGTATAGCCCCCATATAACGGTACCTCCCGATATTCGCTATTTTAATGATTTTTGCCACATTTTTTCATGGATTTGTCTGAAAATTGGTATTTGTTGGTCATAATAGGTTCTAGCTCCGGTAGCGAAACATTGTATGTATAGGTTCACGCTTTGGTATAGCCCCCATATATCAGTATCTCCCGATATTCGGTATTTTGATGGTTTTTGTCACATTTTTTCAAGGATTTCTCAAAAAATTGGAATAAGTTGGTCATAATAGGTTCTGGCTCCGTTGGCGAATGAATGTTTTTGTATAGCCCTATATAGCGCTATCATTTTGTAACCATTCTTGGGTGGCGCGTGCTGACTGCGATGGTGCTCAGTCCTGTTGGAATGTCCAAGGTCTGCGTCCAAAATGTTTGCGTGCCCAAGGCTTTAATACACCCTGCAGAATATTTTCGCAATAATAGTCGGCATTTATTCTGATGCCACAGTCGATTAATGAGAACGGAAAGCGACCATCGGCTGTTATGGCGGCCCATACCATCAATATAGCCGGCGCTTTAGTTCTGGTGGCCAACCGAAGGTGTACATTTTCAGCTGACCTCTTTGGCAAGGACAACGAATGTTTTCTCATCGGAGAAAACCAAATTCGGTTGTTCACCACTTTCGGCCAAATGAAGCAACTCTTTAGCTCTTCTGAGTCTATTTTCTTTCAGTTGGGATTTGCACTTTTTGGAATTTCAATTACTTTACCCTGAGCTCATTTTTCAATATTTTCCGAATGGAATATTGCGATATGTTCAGCTCACGAGCCATTTTTCGGCCACTTCGACGCGGGTTTCGATCAAATCGCTTCTTTACAGTTCGAACCATTTCTACTGATGTTGAGATTTTCTTCCGTCCACTTCCTTGACGTCGGGCTACGCTACCAGTACCACGGTAACGAGCGATGATGCGAGACACAAAAGATTTATTCACATTTAAATGCTGGAGTGCTCTACTGATGGCCACTTGTGATTTTCCAGCTAAATATAAAGAAATCACACTGAATTCCATTACGAATAACTTTTTTTTCTGGAAAATGCTCACCAAAATGCTTTTGTACGCTTGTAAACAATATAAAGAGCTGTCACTGGAATAATTTTAACAGCTGTTGGACGAGTGGCTTAGAAATGACAGCAGTCTGAAGTTAGTTGCAGTTTTTTATATCACCCTGTAAATGTCCGATTTCATTTCATGTGTATTAGATGAGGTATGAAAATGGAATATCTGGTACCACAGCCACATTTCAACATTTAAAAATTATCATATATCTCATAAAAAGTGAAGGAAGTAGTCGATATAGTCTAAACTTGGCATGTCGCAATGTTTATATCATATATGTTTAGGTGCGATACGAAATGGAAAATATTGGCCCATTGCTTCGTAAACTGTTCCATAGAAGGTCAACAGTTTAAATAATCATAACAGAAGCCCCAATATATAAAAATAATCGAACATTGGCTATACATCTGAGAGCATTCCCCAAAAACGAAACTTTTGAAAAATCTAAATCCAACATAAATCGATGAAAATATAGAAATTCGAACGTTACATTATTTTCATCAAATTTAAGTGAGATTTTAAAAGGGAAATAGTCCCACACTTCAATGGTAAAATTTTAGAAAATGTTAATTTCAAATATTTCTGATACGAAACGTTATTATTGAGGTACGAAAACGAAGGAGTATGTATGTATTGTGTATTGAGCTGATAGAAGGCCCTAGACTAGGTCTATTTTTTTGTCGACAAATCGTTCGATACTTTCCATCATATTTTTTGGGATGATAAAGTAAGACCTATTTCTCTGAAATTTAAATTTTCTCCTCAAGCTGTTATGTTGAGCAACAATTCCTAGTTACTTTCACTTACACGCACACATCTCCATTTATGTGTATGCCCCCTTTTTATAAGTATTTTCCTTTCAGGCACATAAAAGGATGTTCATTCAGGCTTGAAATTTGTGTTTAGCTAATATTTAAACTTCAATCAGCTTTGGCAAAGATTTTTCCCATTTTTATGTTGTAAAGCAACAACAGCAACAAAAACAACTTCTGGCACCTTTTCCCTTTAAAAAAAAAAGGAAAATGTGACAAGAGCAAGGAAGTTCAAGCTAACGACATTTCCTTTTTGTGCGTTCAAAAGTAAGGTACAAAAAAACCACCCAAAGACAAATCTATTTTTTTAGGCATGACCAAAGATTTGACTTTTGTTGTCCCACATCAAAACAGAACATAAAGAATGAAAATGGTTTTCACCAAAAAAACCCTATGTTTGTTGTTGTTGCTGTCTTACTTGTAAAGCCTTTGCATTCATCAAACTTTAATCAATTGCTTGGCAGACCAGGATAATGTGCACATGTGTGCGTGAGCGTGTGTGCATGTGGTGACTAATGTGCCACCCACAAAAGTAGACCTAATCTTTGAACACTCATAGGAAATGGCCAGACATAATGGAGCCACAATCACTCAAAAACCACTCATACATCCACACACATACACAAGCACACATGACTGACATGTACATATGCACAAATGTATAAATTAATGTATATGTGTGTGTTGCCATTTGTTATAAGAATAAAGTTAAGAAGATGTCCATTGCAAATTGTATTCGTTAAAAGAAGCTTAAATTTATAAAACTTTATGACTATGATGATGAACTAATACAAAGAAGGTTGCTGTTGGATGATTTAAAATATATTTGATATTGATTTTATGTGGGCGGAGGGAGGGGGAGGGTGTAAATGAATTAATGTAAAGATTCATATTGAATGATGTAAAATATGAAACATACTGGTTATATTTCTGCAATAAAGGAAAGAGTTGTTATATTGATATTAAAATTACAACTGAAATTTTGTACAGTATTCAAATAAATTGAAAATAAAATTTTGGATTTTTTAGAAATCAATCGATTTACGTATTTTAGAAATCAATCATTTTAAGATTTCGACAAATCCCAATAGAATTTTTATAATTTTTTTTTTACAGTTTTTTCATTTATTCTGTTCTCGAAAATAATCAATATTTTAAGGAATATGATTTCCACTGAACATTAAATTTTATAAAAACAAGTAAGCAAAGGCTATAGTCGGGCGGAGTTGAACACGTGATATCCTAAAAATTAAAATACAGAGATGAGATGAGGTGAGATGAAAACACTGCAACCAACTTCAGACTGCTGTCATTTCTAAGCCACTCCTCCGACAATGACAATGACAGCTCATTATATTGTTTGCAAGCGTACAAAAGCATTTTGGTGAGCATTTTCAAGCAAAAATTTTTTCGTGATGGAATTCAAGCGTGATAGTGTGATTTCTATATAATTGACTGGAAACCAAAAGTGACTATCGATAGAGCACTCCAGCATTTAAATGTGAATAAATCTTTTGTGTCTCGTACCATTGCTCGTTACCGTGATACTGTAAGCGTAGCCCGACTGCAAGAAAGTGGACGGCAGAAGACAGCAACATTAGCAGAAATGTTTCAAAATGTAAAGAAGCGACTTGTTCGAAACCAGCGCCCCAGTGGTCGAAAAATGGCTCTTGAGCTGAACATATCGCAATATTCAATTCGACAAATATTGAAAAAATGAGGTCGGAGTAAAGCTATTAAAATTCCAAAAAAAGAAGAATTTACACCATAACAGAAAGAAAATATACTCAAAAGAGCTAAAGAGTTGCTTCGCTTGGCCGATAGTGGTGAACTGCCGAATTTGGGTTTCTTCGAAGAGAACAACTAAACAACATGACCGTGCTTGCTTGCCAAAGAGTTCAGCTGAAATATGCACATTCGGTTGGCCACCAGAACTCAAGCGCCGGCCAACACATAATGGCTACCAAGATCGTCGGATACAAATCTGTTGGACTATTGTGTCTGGAGTATTTTGGAAGGCAAGGTTTGTTGGTTTAAAATACCAAAGTTTCGATCACCTCAAACAAGCGCTACGTCGGGAATGGGGCAAAATACCGCAGAGCAAGATTCGTACAGCGTATGACGGTTTCATTGGCCATTAGAAGGCCATAACTCGTGCCAAAGTTGACCAATTTGAACAAATCTAAACTTATTCT